CCCCCCCCGCCCCCAGTTCTGGGGATGGAACTCAGGGCTTCACACTGAGCTACATTTCAGCCCTTTTTATTTTTATTTTGAGACAGGTCTTGCTATGCTGCCCAAGCTGGCCTTGAACTTATGGCTATGGTCCTGCCTCAGCCTCCCAAGTGCTGGGATCACAGGCATGCACCACCAGGCCTAGTTGACTTTTCTCTATTTCTCTGGGGTAAAGTCTGGTCTCACTTAAAAGAGAACCTGATGGGGCTGGGGATTTAAGCTTGATGGTTCCAGCGCCTGCCTTGCAAGTGCAAGATCTGGAGTTCAATCCCCAGTACCCCCCCCCAAAAGAGCGAAAACCTGAGGGAAAACTGGAAGTCTGCCCATATCCAATAAATACATGTGTGGAAACAGCCATCCAGCACCCCCTCCCCAGCCTATCCAACAAGGTGTCTCATGTGGGTGACTCACCTTCTTAGCTGTGATCAGTTGCTGATAAACCTGAATTACACTTCACAGTTAAGATACAATTAATAATTTTAATCCTTAAAAAGTAATCAGCATAGGGCCAGGGATTTAGCTCAGTGGTTCTGCTGCCTGCCTCAAAAGCGCAAGGACTGGAGTTCAGTCCCCGGTACCAAAAAAAAAAAAAAAAAAGTAATCAGCATAATGCCAAATTGGTGTATAATGCATCATCTCAATTACGCAAAAAGCCCATATCTCTGTCTACAAATATGCAATAAAATTAACAAAGAGAACTTGAATATTAATCGTGGTTATACACAAGTCATGGAGTAACGAGTATTTTTACTTTCTTCCTTATGCTTTTCTATTTTCCAAATTCTTTTACTTATTTGTCTGTTTGTTGTCTTTTTGAGGCAGAGTCTCACTACGTAGTCCAGGATGGCCTTGAACTTGGGTGATCCACCTGTCTCAGCCTCCTGAGTGCTGGGGTCACAGGTGTGCACCACCACGCTGGGCTCCAAAATCTTGGAAATGAGCATAGAATTGCCTTTATAAGGAGGCAAAAAGGTGATATGTAAAAATTGAAGCACCTCCTGCAACAGTAACCATCATTATACAGGAAAATATTAACCAATGCACTGAAAATGGAAAATAGTTTTGATTTTGAGTAGGAAGCTTTGGAAGAAGGTAGGTACTATAGGTTCTCACCGTTTTGTTCACTGGGTTGCAGGATTTATTGTCTAACTTTTTGGTTGTGTTGTTGTTTACCATTTTGGGAATCAAACAAGAACTCGCATACACTAGGCGAGTACTCTGCCTCAGAGCTACACCCTGTCTCTGACTCTTATTTCACAAAACTGGTTAGAGGAAACCAGGTTTATAGAGAGAAAGACGCCAGAAGCAAAATCAGAGATACTTCCATGTCATCCACTGGTGTAGCGACTCTAGAGACTGAGGCAGGAGGATTGCCATGAGGTTAAGCCCAACCTGGACCACATAGTGAGACTCTGATGCAACAAACAAACAAAAATTAAAATTAAATTTAAAAAACATGCCGCCCAATCTCCAAGAAGTCAGGTCGACAGCTCTGCTCTGACGCAAAGGGCCAGCTGCACAGACGGCTTGCTGGGGGTAGCAAGAGGGACCCAAGCTTGGGCTGACTCGTGGCTCTGGGGTCTCCAGCTGCCCCTGGCCCCACCTTTGCCCCGCTGCGTCCTGTCCAGCCCCGATGACCCAGCCGCTCCTGCCCCGCCCGGGCCCTGAGCCTCCGGCGCGGGCTGGTTCCCGTCCGGGTTTCAGGTGTCCTCCCTGGGGCGGTGTCGCCAGGGCTGACTAACGCGTCTCAGGGACAGCGCCGCGCGGCAGGTGCGAGAGGGGAACCGCGGGCGGGGAATCGCATTCAGCTCGTGGCAGCGACGCCTGGAGCCCCCCTGAGCCCTGGGGTACGGCCGGGCTCCCGGCTGCCGCAGGGGCACGAGGTCGCGCCCTGGGGTCAGGACGCAGGCGCAAGCACAGGTCACCGCCCGCTTCCTAGAGCGGGGACCCCTGGCGAGCAGGACCCCGAACCTTCTCCTGCGCTTGGCATGGACCGCACCCCGAGGCGCCGGGCGCTTTCTCTCTCGGCAGCACTGGGGATTAGACCCAGGGGCCTCACACGGAGCGGCCCTTTTTATTTTTTAGTTTGAGGCAGGGTCTCGCTAAGTCACCAGCTTGGCCAGGCTGGGCTGGAACTTGGCATCCTCCTGCCTCAGCCTCCCAGGGTTCCGGGATGACTGGTGTGCGCCATCCTGCCTGGCCTCGGGGTTTTTGTTTTAGGTCGAATATTTGCAGGTTAACTTCGGGGGTTCTCCCGCTGATTTCAGCAGGACAGACTGACACCACTGTTCAACCAACACCTCGATTTGGATTTCTCTATTGGTACTGTTGACCGAACCCTAAAAATCTTAGTGTAACCCTTAGCGGCACATCTGAAACTGCACAACTTTAGTTTACTTTTGGTGGCCCTGGAGACCGAGCCAGGGCACTGCCACGCGGGGAAAGTTCTCGCCCGAGAACCCCAGGCGGGCCTGGCCCGGGCGTGAGCCCCAAACCCCCATTCCCGGGGAGGGGCGACTTTTCGGGCAACCGGGCGCAGGTGACCCCAGATCCGGCCGGCGCTGAGGGACGGGGTGCGGGGCTGCGAGGCCGCGTCTCCACTCGCTGTCGGTTCTGCGAAGTCCTGGGGCTGGGGATGGGTCAGGTTCGCCCCGCCCCCACCCCAATCCCACTCCCACCTCAAATCGGCACCGGCACCCCCAATCCAGCAACTGCACCCCAATGTGTACCCTCACCCCCAATCTGCATTCCCACCCTTCAGGTCCTGGCGTCCAGGCCCCGCCCCAGCGGTGTCCCCGCCCGCGGGCGGTGTCTATGCAAATGTCTCCCCCCCGCCCGCTTCTGCCGGTATAAAAAGCGGGGCCGGGAAGGGGCAGCCGAAGCCGCCGCCTCCCGGGAGCCCGCCGAGCGCTCCTCCCGAGCCCGGGTAAGGTCGCCTGAAGCGCGGATCCCAGGCGGGGCCGAGGGCGCCTGGCCACCCGGGGCTACGGTTCTCCGGGGGCACCCGGCGCTCACACTGCTCCCCGGCGACCCGGGTAGGGCCACCTGTCCCCGGGGGAGCGAGAGGGACTGGGCTGCGCGGGGCCGGGAGGCGCTGTTCTCAGGACGCAGGCGGGGACACCGCGGGACAGCGCCATGGCAGGTGTGGGCGCGCGTGGGGATGAGCTTCCCAGGCCTACAGGGCGCCCAGCCCCGCGGAGTAGCCCCTCTAGGGGGAACAGGCTTCAGGGCCCCTTCTCTGCGTCCTTCTTGTTTTTAAAAAGGAGAGCCCTGTCTGGGCGTGGTCGCGCACGCCTGTCACCCAGCACTCAGGAGGCTGAGGGCTGAGGCAGGAGGTTCGCAAGTTGGAGCCCAGCCCAGGCAACTTAGAGATTTTGTGAGACCCTGCCTCAAAATAAATTATGTAAAAAGGGCTGGGGGTGCAGCTCAGAGCAGAGGCCCTGGGTTCGATCCCCAATCCGGAAAAAAAAAATCCTCCTGGAGTCGACTTTTAAGCTAACTGCCAACCTTACTGTGAGAATCCCACCCTCGTGTCCTGCACCCTTCCTGCAGCCCCCCCCCCCCCGAGGGCTGAATCCCCTTCGTCCTGTCGGGCAGCAGCTGTGTCTGGAACAGGGAGAACCAAGCACCACCCAGAGCCACCCTGTTGGAGGATGCAAGGGCTGCTGGGACCCGGGCTTTCCCGGTGAGATAAATAAGCACAGTTGCTTTGCACAAATGAGCGTCCTTGAGCTACATCTCCACCTCCATCTTTCCCACCACTTTTTTTTTTTGTACCAGGGATTGAACTCGGGTCCTTGTGCTTGCGCAGCAGGTGGCGAAACCACTGAGCTAAATCCCCGGCCCCTTTCTTTTTTTTTTTTTTGGTACCAGGGATCGAACTCAGGACCTTGCCCTTCCAAGGCAGGCACCAGAACCACTGAGCTAAATCCCCAGTCCTTTCCCACCACTTTTAAGAAAGATTTCTTATGTTGAGACAAAGACTCGCTAAGTTCCCCAGGCTGGGGTCCAGCCTGCCATCCTCCTGCCTCAGCCTCCCAGAGCGCTGGGATGACGGGTATGCACCACCACGCTTGGTTTCGAGAGGGTTAATCTGGAGGGCAGAGAGTAGTGAGGGAATGGAGATCCCTGACACTTCTCTCTCCTGTTTCTGTTTGTGCTTGTGTCTTGGTTCCACCCAGTACCCAGGTAAGAGGACCAGAAGGAAGCATGTCTGAATTTTGGCTAATTTCGGCCCCTGGAGATAAGGAAAATTTACAAGCACTGGAAAGGATGAACACGGTCACCTCCAAATCCAACCTGTCCCACAACACGAAGTTCTCAATTCCCGACTTCAAGGTAAAACTCCCGGAGGAGAACAGAGGTGAGGGGTTGGGGGGGACAGAGCAGGACGCAGGGCAGAGGACAAAGGTCGCTTGCTCTGGGAAGCCAAGGAGAAAGGAATTGGCCAAACCTGAGCTGGGGAATTTTGGTTTATTTGAGACAGGGTCTCGCTGTGTAGCCCAGGCTGGCCTCGAACTCATGGCCATCCTCCTGCCTCAGCCTCCCTGCTGAGATTGCAGGTGCTGGGCAAAGTTGATGGTCTTGTTGGAGCTTCAAGTCCCAGCCCCATGTAATTGTGGCATTTACGAACCAGATCACTAGGGCTGTGACACAGCCTTGCCCAAGGTTGTGTATAGTTGCCAGGCATGGTGGTGGCACAAGCCTGTAATCCCCGAATCCTGGGAGGCTGAGGCAGGAGGATAAGTTTGAGTCCAAGACCTAGGAAGACCCTGTCTCAAAATAAAAAGGTAGGGGATGCAGCACAGTGCAGTCAATCACTGATACAAAAAAAAAAAAAAGCTTAAAATTACCTTACTTAAAAGGTAGCAGCCTCTCTGGGTAGCGGTCTGTGGGCTTTGCCACTGTGTATGTACTTTGGGGGAGTGAGGTGGCCCTGCAGATTAAACCAGAGCCCCCCACGCTGGTTCCCTCCCACTGGGCTGCCTCCTGCCTGTCCTAACGTGGACTTCCCACGTGAGTAGAGGACTCACTGGGCAGCCGGTGCTCCTCTCTGGCTCTGGGAATACACCTTTCAGTGGGGTTTGCAGTCTTTCCACACTAAGAAACTTCACAAGGCCCCTCCCAGCCTCATCCTAGCACTGAGGAGGCTGAGGAAGGAAGATCGCCGAGGTTCGAGGCCAGCCTGGGCTCCATAGTGAGTTCAAGGCCAACCTGGACTACATAGCGAGACCCTGTCTCAAAAAAAAAAAAAAAAGAACAGGAAGGTTGGACTGTTTTGGAGAAGACAGGCTTGAGGTGTGTGTGTGTGTGTGTGTGTGTGTGTGGGTGTGTGTGTGGGTGTGTGGGTGTGTTTGAAACAGGGTCTCACTATGTAGCCCAAGCTGGCCCTGAACTGCTTTCAACAATCGTCCTGCCTCAGCCTCCTGAGTGCTGGCATTACGGCTGTGCACCACCACGCCTGGCAGAGATTATACATACCTTGCTAATTGGCTTTTTGGTCTGTCTGTCTGGCTATGGAAAGAAATAGCCTGGGTTTGAGCTGGACACAGTCCTCCCCTGGTGATGGCTCTGCAGCTGAGCCCAGTCTGTCCAGGTGTGGATGATGCGAGGGTCCCACCCCGGAGCTGAAATGACGCCCAGGCTTCAACAGCAGGAGCCTCTAACTTCCTTTTGCTTTCCCAGGTGGGGACCTTGGATTCACTGGTCGGTCTCTCCGATGAGCTGGGGAAACTCGATACCTTTGCTGAAAGGTAAAACACTCTCTGTTTACTGCACACAAGGAGGAATGCCTTGTTAGGGGACACGGCCCCTTGCTGGGCTGAACCCAGGGATGGACTTCTCTAACCTGGTCCCAGAGCTGCACACAGAGCAGGTGACACTGGCATGGTGGCGCATGCCTACAGTCCCAGCTGCTTGAGAGGCTGAGGCAGGAGGATTGAAAGATCCAAGACGCCCTGGGAAACTTAGAGAAATCCTCTCTTTAAAAATGGAGCTGGAGGACTGGTGATTTAGCTCAGTGATGCCACCACCTGCCTCGCAAGCGCAAGGTCCCAAGTTCTATCCCCGGTACCAAAAAAAAAATGGAGCTGGGAATGAAGCTTGGTGGTAGAGGCCCTCTGGTTCAATCCCTGGAACCACAGGGGAAAAAATCAAGCTCGTGCTGGTGGTTGAGGGTCTGTGGGTGCACGCTGGGTCCCTTATTATTTTGTTAACTGCAGGAAGCATTTTTATTTTATTTATTTATTTATTTATTTTTGAGACAGGGCCTTGCTCTGTAGCCCAGGCTGGCCTCAAACTCTCGGTGATCCTTCTGCCTCAGCCTCCTGAGTGCTCGGATGACAGGTGTGCACCACCATGCCCTGCTCATTTCTCCTCTTTGTGGGCAATGCTATTGTGAGGCAAGCCTTCCAGAGAGGCCTATCCAAATAAATATGAGTGTGGTCTTAAAGATAATTTTAGGCAAATGATAGCATGGATTCTGTGTCTTGCTTTCCTTGTCTTAACATCTGTTGGGATTGTATGCCTGTCACTATCACACGCTGTCTTCTAACTAGAACAGATGTGCCTGTGTTTATTTGACTTCTCTGTTGTGAGATAGTTCTTTTTCCTGTCCTTTGATATTATTATTATTATTAATTTTTGGTACTGGGGACCAAACTCAGGACCTTGCGCTTGCAAGGCAGGCGGTGGCACCACTGAGCTAAATCCTCAGCCCATCCTTTGCTATTATAAACAGTGGGTAAGGATGGGTGCGCACAGCTGAAATCCCAGCACTCAGGAGGCTGAGGCAAGAGGATTGCTGTGAGCTTGAGGCCAGCCTGGGCAACTTATCAACTTAGCAAGACCCTGTCTCAAAATAAAAAATTTAAAATAAAAGACTGGGAATTTAGCTCAGTTTGAAGGTCCCAGGTTCAATCCCCAGTACTATACACACACACACACACACAGACATACACACACACACACACACACACACACACACATGCGCGTGCGCGTGCGCGGTGGAAATGTCAGGTCAGAGCCTGCATATGCAGAACTTTGTGGATGCATCCATGCTGCTCTTCTGAGAGTTTCTCCCATTCACACATTCACCAAAAATGTATGAGGCTATCTAGAGGCTTAAAATGGCATTTCTTTTTTCCAACATTATTATAAATTTGATGAATAATCATTGGGAAGCATTTATAGATCACAGAAAAGCATGAAAAGAAAATACGGATCACCTATAATTTTGTACCCAGAGACAACTGCTGCCATAATGTTTTTAGTATGCACTGTTTTTAATTTTTTGAAACAAGGTCTCACTACGTAGCCTGGTCTGGCCTCGAACTCATGGTGATCTTCCTGCCTCAGCCTCCCAAGTGCTGGGATGACAGGTGTGTGTCACCAAGTCTGGCTAGAAATGTTTTGCTCTGTGTGCAATGCTGGACCAAGGAGCTGGCCACGCCACAAGCTTTGAGGATAAAACTAACCTTTGGCATTCTCCTCTGTAAAGTGAAATAACAGGGATCATTTCTGGACATAATTATCCCTCCAAGTAGCATGAAATGCCAGGGTGTGAGCCAGGCATAGTGGTGTGGGCCTGTGATCCCAGCACTTGGGAGGCTGAGGCAGGAGGATCTCCACAGGGGCTACACAGTAAGACTCTGTCTCTAAACAACAACAACAGCAACAAGCCCCACAGTGTCCGTGCCTCTCAGGGACTGCAGGGGCACACAGAGTTCTCTGGACCCAGTGTCACTCGGGTCTGACTGAGAAGACAGATACCCACCACACTGCCTAATTCAGCACCAGCAGGCTGAGCCCAGGGCCTGGCAGGTGCCCTGAGTCAGGCTGGTGTTTGCTGTGTATTCTCTCAGGCAGCTCTGATCCAGTCAGTGCAGGGGCTGTTCAGTTAGGTGCAGAATGGGGAGTTGTTCTTGCGCTGGGTGGAGGAACTGAAGCTCTCCCGAGTTCTTGCTTTTCCCCAGCACCGGGGCTGAACCCAGGGCCTTCTCTCTGAGCTACAACCTAACCCTTTTTATTTTTTATTTTGAGACAGGGTCTCACTAAGTCACTAAGTTTCCCAGTCGAGACTCAAATATGAGATCGGCCTGCCTCAGCCTCCCAGAGTGCGCAGATTACAGTCCTGTGCCACTGCCTTGGGCTCTGTTTAGCATTGTCTTTTCTTTGGCCTGTCTTCTCCATCGGTGGGCTGCCTTGGTGAAGAGTTCTTTAACTTTCTTCCTTCTACAGCCCCTTCCAACTCAGGAATCTCCTGCTATTGTTACTGTTTCCACTTTAGCTTCCTTCCTTTTGTTTGTTACTTTCTTCTCAAGAGATATTGTTGTTCAGTTCTGTGCATGTTTGTTGCAACAGTTGCCTTTGAGAGTGGTGTAGCAGATGTTTAAGAAAAAAACCAAGCTGGGCCTCCTGGTCCAGATCTGTAATCCCAGCATTCTGTGAGGCTGAGGCAGGAAGATTCAAAGTTGAGCCCAGCCTAGGCAGCTTAGCAATTTAGTGAGACTTTGTCTTAAAATAAAACATAAAAGAGGCTTGGGATTGTAGCTCAGTGTGAAGGCCCTGGGTTCAATCCCCAGACCTGGGGGGAAAAAGAAGAAAAGAAAAAGGAAGAGAAAGGACATGCACACAAGCAGGCGGAAGCTATAATTGTGAAAGGCAGAACCTGTGCAACTTAACATGTTTTTGCAAAGCGGGAGTAGGTGTGGTAAGAATGGCAACCACTGTGCATTGTTCTAGTTTTCCTCATAGGTGTGTATTCCCAAGAACTCTCCTATCAGAAGAAAGAAAAATAATGGGTTCTAGCACCAAAAGTTGTTATTTCTAACTTTGATCTGCTCTCAGGGCCAGGTGTCTGGGATTTAAAATACGAGATGCATAGCTGGGTGTGGTGGCATACACCTGTCATCCCAGCACTCTGGAAGGCTGAGACAGGAGGATCACACGTTCAGGCCTGGGCAACTTAGCAATTTAGTAAGACCCTGTCTCAAAAATAAACAAAGGGCTAGGGACATAGCCCAGTGCAGAGGCCCTCTGTTCTGTAATCCAAAAAATAAAAACCTGAAAATCCTCCAGTGTTATGAGATAAATAAAAGGGTTGTAACCTGGGTCTGTAACCTGGGCAGCGTAAACCTGTCCACACCACCGTGCCCAGGGCGCGGGCTGGGACAGGACTCAGCAGGGGTATTGTTTCCTTGCCCTTTTATTATTTATTTACCTGGGCACCTGTGTGTTTTTCCATATAGCCACGAGGCAGCTTTGCTGACAAGCTCCTTGTTGTTATTTTTGGATTTTTTTCTTTTGTGCTGCCTCTCCTATACCCAGGGTTTATGCCACCATCCATGCACAGCGGAGGAACCCAATGATTTTATCTTTTTAAAAAAAGCTCCTGGCTGCTTCTCAGAGTCTGGGTGCTTTCCATGTTCCCGTCCTGGCAGGGGCTGCAGTCTTCCATCCCAGGGCTCACTGAGGCCTCCAGGGTTTCTGCAGAGCTTTGTTGATGGCCCCTGGGCAAGCATCTCACCTGTCTTATGGGATGCTGGTGGCTTTTTCTTTTCTTTTCTTCTTGTTTTTTTGAGACAGGGTCTCACTGTATAGCCCAGGCTGGCCTCAAACTTGGCAGTGATCCTCCTGCCTCAGCCTCCCGAGTGCTAGGTTTGCTTCTGGCATGGTCACCTGAGGGTTGGCTGATCACAGGTCACTCTCTGAGTGTGAATATTGTAAAGAGGAAGCCCCTGGCCTCTCTGTTTATGCAGGAAGGTCACACAGGAACAGTATGGGGACATTTTGTTGGATTCAGTGACCGGACAGGAAGCAGACACCTGTGTGCTGGGTGCCAGCCGTGCTCTGTAAAGACTCGATGGGCCTAGGTCTCACGTGGCTGTCCCCACACGGTGGCTGTTTCACACTGCCCTCCCCACCCCAAGAACTCCAGCTTCTCCCAGGGGCCCCTACCTCTGCCCACCCCAGCACCTGCTGACCGAATCTCAGAACTCTGGGAGGCTGAGGCAGGAGGATCCAAGTTTGAGTTCTGCCTAGGTGAGTTGGCAAGACTGTCTCCAAATAAAAATTTAAAAAGGGCGGGGGTTGTAGCTCAGTGTGAAGGCCCTGGTTCAACTCCCCGTAACTCCCCACACCCCAAAATAAAAACCCAGAACAATAACTGCACAGTGACACACGGTTCTCCTGCTTAAAATCCTCACGTGGCTTCAGAGATCTTCTTCTGAGTGACTGGGGAAGTTTGGTCTCTGAGGTCTCAAGGTCAAGCTTGACCTTTAATCTTTTTTTTTTCCTGATACCAGGGATCGAACTCATGACCTTGCACTTGCAAGGCAGGCTTGGCTTTTAAAGCTTGGTGCTGGGGGCCTCGAGAACCTCAGGGGCTCTGTTTTTCTATAAACAAAGCCACTTCCCCACTCTCTGGTCACGTTTCTGACGAGCACAGCTGTGGGGCCAGGAGGGGCCAGCGCTGGGTGGAGCTGTGGCCAGCAGCTAAGTGACCTGGGGCCTGGGGCTTTGCACTGAGCTCCATCCCTGGCCCCTTGTCTTAAAATTGTGAGACAAGCTGGGCGTGGCAGCACACATCTGTGATCCCAGCACTCAGGAGGCTGAGGCAGGAGGATCACTGCCAAGTTTGAGGCCAGCCAGGGCTAGTAAGTGAGTTCAAGGCCCATCTGAACTACACAGCAAGACCTTGTCTCCAAAAAAAACCCAAACCCATATTTGACCTCGGGAATCCCACAACCCCAAGGACTGTGTCTCCAATGTGGGGCCAATAGGTCCAGACTTCTCTCTGGATAGACAAGCAGGTATGGGGCTTTTTGTTTTGTTGTTTGCAAAGATGTGATGGTAACTGTAGATAGCGTGTGTACAGCCTGCTCTTCTTTGCTCTGGGAGGATATCCTTTTTATTTTACCCTGGTACCAGGGATCAAACTCAGGACCTTGCGCTTGCAAGGCAGGTGCAGAGGCACTGAGCTAAATCCCCCACCCAGTGATCCTGTCCTTTTAAGGCAGCACATAGGGACCATCCTCATTGTCTTTAGAGACTTCCCGGTGGTCCATTAGATCTGGCAGCTCCCTTATGGGTGACACAAGTGGCTTTTTGTCTGCAGTCACATGGCACTTTGTGCTGAAGGCCTGGAGCCGGGATTAGCAGAAAGAGAAATTCCTGCAACTGAAATTCTTGGATCAAAATATCCATATGGCTGGGCATGATGGTGCATGCCTGTCATCCCAGCGCTTGGGAGGCTGAAGCAGGAGGATCACCATGAGTTTGAGGCCAGCCTGGGCTACACAGCGGAACCCTGTCTCAAAAAACTAAAAAACAAAACAAGAAAACCCCTAAAAAAAATCCATGTGTTAAACCCTTTGTAGATTTTTAGCCAAGCATGGTGGTGCACACTTGTTATCCCAGCCCTTCTGCCACAGATATTGAACTTGGGGTGAGTTGAGCACCCAGCCTGACTCCACCTTGAACCATAGGAGCAGGTTTCGGCCTTACAGTTATTTATTTGTTTATAGACTGGGGATTGAACCAGGGCCTTTGCACAGACCTACATCCCCAGCCTTTTTTACTTTTTATTTTGAGACAGGGTCTTACTAAATTGGCCAGGTAGGAGTTGAACTTGTGATCCTCCTGTCTCAGCCTCCCAGAGTGCTGGGATGACAGGCGTGCACAGCCATGCCTGGCTTCAGTGTTTTTTCCAGAGACTGGAGTTTTACTTTTCCGCTGTAAGAGCAGTACCAGGTCATAGCAGACAGTGTCGCTTGGAGGAACGTCTGCCCCTGGCGAAGCCTGGCCGGGTCTCAGTTTCCCTGACGTTGTAACACAGTTCTCTGTAGACCCAGCTTTCAGGGGCTGCCTAACAGTCCCACTGCTGAATCTCCCACCACTCCCTTGAACAATTCCCTATTGTTGAATCTTCTGGCTGTTTCCAATGTTTTACAGTTAGCACCAGCACTAAGAGCATCACTGTATTCAGAAAACTTTTTCTGGTTTTCCTGTTTCCTTAAGAAAGTTTCCCCAAAGTGGAATTACTGGTTCAGAGGCTGTTAACACTTGAAGTCTCTCTCTCTCTCCCTCTCTCTCTCATCTCTATGGTTCTACTGAGCTACATCCTCAGACCTTTTTATTTTTTATTTTGAGACAGGGTCTTGCCCATGCTGGACTCAAACTTGAGATTCTCCTGCCTCAGTCTCGCAGAGTGCTGAGATTCCAGCTACCTGGTGACTGTTAACACTTGGAAGTCTCTTCCTACAGACCCCCATTGACGTCCACACAAGTGCCAGGCTCCCTGCTCTGCCTGCTGTGTATGCGGGTTTTCTGTGGCCCTTCTGCTCTTCTTACCCAGGATTCTCTCTTCCCTTTCTGCAGCCTCATAAAGCGAATGGCACAAACCGTGGCAGACGTCATGGAGGACTCCGAGGGCAAGGTGCAGGAGAACCTTCTGGCTAATGGAGGTGGGCTTGCCCAGGGTGCTGTCCCTGGGTCACCTCCATGGTCCCGGAAGTGTCCGTGTACTCTGCTAGCACAGTTGAGCTTGGATGCAGCTCCCTTTCTAAGCTCTGTGCTCTGCTGCCTCTTTGCAGGGCATGTGGGTTTTTTCCTTTTGGTTGTTGTTTTTTTTTGGTACCAGAGATCGAACTCGGGTCTTTGTGCTTGTGCAGCAGGCGGTGAAACCATTGAGCTAAATCCCTGGCCCTCCTTTTGGTTTTGTGAGATAGGGTCTCACTGTGTAGTTCAGGCTGGCCTTGAACTCACTATGCAGCCCAGGCCTCCTGCCTCAGCCTCCTGAGTGCTGGGATGGCAGGCGTGTGCCACCACACCTGGCTAGTGTGTGGCGCCCCTTACCCTGTCCCTGAGCTCCTCAGTGAGCTTGGACATGATGGGGCCCCAGGGCGTCCATTCCCAGGCTCTTTGCTGTTTGCCCCAGCACCTCCCCCACCATACAAAATCCCAAGCAGCCAATCTCGGGGATCCGGCCCCCAAAGCCTTCTGCCCCGATCCCCATTCAGAATTCCCCTCCCCTGTGCAGAGAGCAGATGCCTCTAGGTCCCAGTGATGACTCGGGCACCAGTTGTGTCCATCCCCTTTGAAAGGATGTAAAATGCACAGCCCAAAAGCCAGGTGTGGTGGCGCACAGCCATCACCGCAGCACTCAGGAGGCTGAGACAGGAGGATCATAAGTTGAAGCCCAGTCTGGGCAACTTAGTGAGAACCTGCCTCAAAATGAAACAAAAAAGGGCTGGGGACATGCTGTTCAGTGCCAAGGTCCTTGTTCAGTCCCAGCACTGCACACATGCACACAAACACACAGAGCTCAGGGACTCTGGAAACTTGAAAATGAAATGTCTGACTATCTGCGGGGATAGTTAAGGTGACTGCATGTTTCTTGAAAACGAGGCCATATATATTTAAAATTCCAGTCATTTGTTACGCATGGAACACGGGTAGGTCCATGTTCCTGTCCTTCCCAGACACACGAGGAGTGTTTTATTTGCTGCCTGAAGTCAACACGTGGAAATGCCGGGACCTTGGATTTGTGGGTCTCCGGGGTCTAATAACTGCACCTCTTACATTGCAGGTTTGAAGGAGAAAATGAAGTGTTTAAAGCGTAGGTGGGGTCCCTTGCACGCTGTTGGGTGCCTTGTGGTGCACATGTCTGGTTGTGGGGTTCAGAGGTCAGGTCGCCACGGCTCCTTGAGTGACAACCACGCAGCTCAGTCCCGACACCCACGCAACACAAATTACTGTTTCCTTCCTTCCCTGTCTTTCTCCTGTCACCCTGCCTCTCCCATGAGTGCTGCATGCCACCTGGGGTTTGTTCTGTTGTTGATTGTTTGGTTGTTTGTTTGTTTGTTGAGACAGGGTCTCGCTGTGGAGTCCAGGCTGGGCTTGAATTCATTATGTAGCCCAGGCTGGCCTCAGACTCTCGGTGATCCTCCTGCCTCAGCCACCTGAGTGCTGAGATGACAGGTGTGCACCACCACACCCGGTGCAGTTTCTCCTTTAGTCATGGGGTGCAGGGCACCCTCCTGTGCTGGCTCCTCCCAGACACAGTAGCAGCCCCTGGTGGGGTGCAGGATGAATTAGATGGAATGAGTCACAGTCCTGGCCCACAGGACACGGGCAGTAAATGTCCCCTGCTGCAAAGCCCAGCATCCTGTGTGATGTCAAGGCACTTCCTGCCTCCGGGGGTGTCCGGTCTGTGTCCCCCAGGCCCCCTGAGTCCTCTTTGGTTTCCAGGTTCTACTTGGGGCCTTGGTCCCCACATCAGCCTTATCCCAGGCTGGCCTCTGCCCTCTGCCCAGCCAGCAACCTGGGAGTCTGGGTGTCACCTGCCCTGTGCCCTGTGTGGCAGGAGGACCTCTGGAGCCCAGGGGTGGTCAGCCTGGCTAGCAGAGTGAGACTGCACCTCAAGAAGGAGAGAAGGAAGAGGGGAGACAGTGGTGGACCTGGCCTATGTCCTCAGCGCTCTGGAAGCATGCACAGAGCTGACTGGAAGGGAGCAGGCATGGGGTGCATGTGCCCAGCTCTCTGGTGCAAAGGCTGACTTAACCCCGTGAGGCCGCTGAGCCTCCCTGTGCGGCCGCTGACCTCAAGTCCGGGTTCTCCCAGCCCCACAGTGGGTGCGACAGGGTCAGAAACCCCTGACCCCAAGGGTGGCGGTTTCATTTGGTTTTGGAGACAGGGACACTGGGAGGATGCCCCTGTGTCCCCTGCTTCATGCAGAGACGCGTGCTGGAGGCGCACACAGAAAGCCTCGAGCAGAAAATGCCTTCTTGCTTTTTTTGGTACCGGGGATTGAACTCAGGACCTTGTGCTTACCAGGCAGCCGGTGGAACCACTGAGCTAAATCCCCAGCCCGGAAAATGCCTTCTCTAAAATCCCAGCACTCGGGAGGCTGAGGTGGAAGGATCACGAGTTGGAGCCCAGCCTGGGCAATTTAGGGACTTCTTGAGACTGTCTCAAAATAAAAAATAAAAAGGACTGCAGATGTAGCTCAGTGTGAAGACCCTGAGTTCAAAACCCAATGCTGCCAAAAACAAAACACCAAGTGATGACCAGCAGGGAGCGTGGCTCAGACGACTGCAGAAGTGGGGCCTTTTCAGGATGGCGCCAGGGTGGTCTCCGGTGCAACGGGTCCCTTGGGCGTGCAGAGTGGAGCCGGACTGGGGACAGAAGTGCCCGCCTCGGTGCCCTCCCTTGGCTGTGGCGTGCTTTGGGGAGGGCTTGGGGTTGGGCTGGTGGCCACGCAGGGGCGGGCCCCGCTTCTCCCTGCTGCGGCCCGGGTGTGAGCGGGAGCCCAGCAGGGAGAGTGGGACCCTCGCTGAGTGTGTCTGTGCCCCTCAGATAACCTGACGTCCTTCGTGAGCCACTTCGAATGGGACATGGCCAAGTACCCCACCAAGCAGACGCTGGTCAGTGTGGTGGACACAGTGGCAAAGGTGAGAGCGGACACGGGCCCTGAGGTGGGGACACAGCGCCGGGCTCTGCAGCAGCCAGGCGGAGGCCAGGCTCCAGCTCTGCTTGGAGACCCTGGGTCCTGTCTGCTGCAGCTGCCCTGCTCCTCCCTGGCCCTGTTTTTATTTTGAGGCAGGGTCTCATTAGATTGCTGCACTGCCCGGGCTGGGCTCCGACTTCCAGGCCTCCTGCCTCAGCCTCCCAGAGTGCTGGGATGACAGGTGCGCACCCCTGTGCCCAGCTTTGCGGGCCATTTCTGACACCTGTCCCTCTCACTCTGCAATGCACCAGCTACGCCCCATCTGCTGTTGGCCCAGCGGCTGGAGAGAAAGTTGCAGCCTGGCAGGGAGACAGCCACCCTGCTCTCAGGGTCCCATGGGGCAGGTGGCTCAGGGGGGCCGAGGGCTTCTGGGTGCCCAGCATCGGGGAGCGGGCGGGGGAGGCTCCGAATCCGGATGTGGCCCGGGCAACACTTGCATCACAGCCTGGCGCCTCCTAGAACAGGTGCCATGACCTGGAGGGCCCTCAGGGACACCCTGCCCGGCGAGTCCCACTCGGCCTCTGGGGCGGCCCCGCCCCGCCCTGCCCTGGACCGGCTCAGTTGCTTGGGACCCAGGGGGAGCACACAGGGCAGCCGAGTAGGAGCAGGGGCCTGGCTTCCATCCTGGTCCTGTCGGGGGCCAGGAGGGACTTGGCTGACGGCTGGAGCAGGGGTGGGGAGCTTGATCTGCTTTGGTTTTTTGGCAGCATTTGGGATTAACCCAGGGCCTTGGCAGGGAGCTCCATTCCCAGCCCTTCCTATTTCTTACTTTGAGGCGGGGTCTTAATAAGTCCCTAAGTCACCCAGGCAGGGTTCCAACTTGCAACCCTCCTGCCGCAGCCTGGAGTGCTGGGGTCACAGTTGTGCATCACCTGCCCAGTTAGGGACCCTGGTTTTGTTTTGTTTTGTTTTGTTTTTTGGTACCGGGGATTGAACTCGGGTCCTTGTGCTTGTGCAGCAGGCAGCCGAAACCACTGAGCTAAATTCCCGGCCCAGGGACCCTGGTTTTGATAGTGTCCCGAGGTGCCTGACTCTCTTGCTTCCGCTGGCCACAAGGAGATTTCATTTTTAGTCCTTTTAAAAAAATTTCTTTTGGTACCAGGGATCAAACTCAGGACCTTGCGGTGGTGAGGCAGGCAGCGGCACCACTGAGCTAAATTCTCGGCCCCAAGGAGATTTCAAATGAGGACACAGTGAGGGGTTACGGTGCATCCCTAGGACCCGCAGCAGCTGCGGTGTCATGGGAGGTACCAATGCGCAAGGCCTGCCAAGAGCACAGAGCGCTGCTTCGGGCCCTGGGATGGCTGCGGGCCTGGCAGCGTCGGGGCCTTGAGGTTCCGAGCCTGCTCCCTTCTCCCAGCATCCCCGGCAGCTGTGGACTCCTCTATGGGGGAATCAGAAAATTAAGAATAAGCAGTGGTTTTTATTCTCCTTTTCTTTCCTTTTTTTTCAGGGCTGGGGCTTGAGCCTGGACCCTTGCATGTGCTAGGCAGGTTGTTTTTTTTGTTTTTCTTTTAAAGTACAAACCTTTTTTCACAAAGCAGGGCCCAGCTGGTTGTGACCGGAAGTTGCTGTTGGGCCCAAGGCAGGCAGAACATGCTTTTGATCTTGAGAATCTTGTTAGATCACGGTGCCCAGGTTGGGTGAGACCCTCCTGCTGGTGTCACCTCCGCCCCCCAGGCACTGCCCAAGGGCTGGAAGCTGCCATGCAGGGAGAAGCAGGGGACCTCTGGGGCCCCCTTGACACATGACACTCGGCGACCATTTAGAAAAGTCCTAGTGGCCCCTTCAATCTTGTCACCTGAGCTGTTTCTTTAACACAGCAACTTGCGCAGATTGAAGCAGATCTGAAATCACGAACAGCCACCTATAGTGCACTGAAGACGGCGCTGGAGAACCTGGAGAAGAGGTCCACGTGTGTAGCCCCTCGAGCTGGTACAGGAGGGCAGCTGCTACCCCAGCAGTGCCATGCCCTCTGGGGGCCTCACGGGCACCTTGCTGTAGTTTTGGTGTCTTGAGACAGGGTCTCACCATACAGTCCAGGCTGGCCCTGATCTCACTGTGTAGCCTGGGCCTGAGACCTTCCTGCCTCAGCCTACTGGGCACTGGGATTACAGGCCTGTTCTCGGAGGTATTCATGAGGGAAGCACTGTGTTGATGCCACAGCCCTCAGGCTCGGTCCCAGCCCCCATCTGTGCCACATCAGCCTTGGGTGCTGGCCGTGTCCTGGTGGCCACGGTGTTTGGACACTAGCTGTGTTGGCCCACACGGCAGCCCTGACCCAGATGCGAACACCACGTGCTTTGTTCAGGCCCAGCCTGGGGCCCGCAAGGCCGCTCCCGGGGCCCGTCCCCCACGCCCCCAGCTGCTGGACGGAAAGCTCTGTAAAGTGACCCAGAATTAGACCTAGCTGGGGTGGCTGCACAGATTCGAGAGCTGGCCGCTGTGGTGACATCTGAGTACCTTCAGCTGCTACTGCCACCTGAGGTCCCCTCCCTCAGCCCCGGGCAGCTTGGGTCACCGAGGTGTGGGACTTGGCAGCCCCTCGAGGGACTGGTGATGGTGACTGAGGTTCTACCAGCTCCCTGTCCCCGAGGGGAGGGGGCGGCAGCTCTGGCCCCAGCACAGAGCCCGGTGACGGTCACTTGGGAAAATCTTTGGTGACCAGGGGTGGTGGGGCACACCAGTTATCCCAGCACTCGGGAGGCTGAGGCAGGAGGCTCACCTTGAGCTCAAGGCCAGCCTGGAATACGTGGTGAGGGGGCTCCACCATGTCCTGGGCTCCTGCATCCACCGTCCTCAGCGTTTGGCGTCTCCAGGCTGTGGGAAGGGGAGCCTCCTGCTGTCACAGGCTGTGTCCCGCTGCTCTGCAGGGGGAACCTCTTCACACGGACACTGAGTGACATCGTGAGCAAGGAGGACTTCGTGCTGGATTCCGAATACCTGGTCACCCTCCTGGTCATTGTCCCCAAGTACGTGGACCAGGGAGAGCCAGGTGTCAGTGTCTAGGCCTCCTGCTCAGAGCAGAGGACGGTGGCGTCTCTGCCCCCTGACAACGTCCCTGTACGGGGTCCCTGGCCTGGGGGATGCTGGGGGCTGTTCTAGTCACATCCCTGCCGCACTTCGGCCCTCAGAAAGTGACTGTCTTCCCACAGGGCCAGCTACGCACAGTGGCAGAAGACTTACGAATCCCTCTCGGACATGGTGGTACCTCGGTCGACCAAGTAAGTGACACCCCAGTCAGCCTTGGTCCCCACAGTGTGGCCACTGTACCCTGCAGCGGATCTGTGCAAAATGACAAGAGGGAACAGCTGGTGCACACCAGTTATCCCAGTGCTCTGGGAGGCTGAGGCAGGAAGATCAAAAGTTTGAGCCCAGCCTGGGCAACTTGGCAAGAGCCTGGCTCAAAATAAAGTGGAAAAGAGAAAAGTTACAAAGAGCGGAGGAAGCAGCTTGGTGCTGAAGGAAATAATTGGACCAGCAAGGAGTAGGTCCATCGAAGACACAGCTGAGACGCAATTCTCAGCTACATGCAGCAGTGGGGATTGGGATCTGGGTCACCGGCACGGTGAGGACGGCAGCTGCTGAGGGGCCATGAACAGCAGCGTTGTCAGGATGGCTGGGACCTGGGGCAGGAGTGCAGCGTGGCAGGCCATCGTGGGGTCTCAACCCAGTGACAAGTGTGGCCGTCCCCAGCTGGGTAGTGGATCTGGGGGTGTTTGTTATCCTTGGTCCCTTTTCTGGGCATCTGAAATGCTTGGGAATTTTGAGGGTTTTTGTTTCTGTTTTTCCAGTACTAGGGAAGGGACCCAGGGCCTTCCCACTGAGCTACATCTCAAGCCCTTTTAAAAATGTTTTTACCTTTTGAGACAGGGTTTTGCTATTGAGACAGGGCTCAAACTTGGGGATCCTCCTGCCTCAGCTTCTTGGCATGCTGGGCTGGCAGGCATGCGCCACTGCACCCAGCTTAACTGTGAGGTTTTGGGAGGGGTCTCCCCGCTCAGCAGCATACAGCCCCTCCTCCGTCCCCACCCAGCTGCTGCCTGGGGCACAGGGCAGGGGCGCAGGGCCTCTCCCTGCTAGGAGGTGGCCACTGGAGCTCAGTGAGGGGTGCAGGACAGGACAGTCAGCCCCAGGTCACGGGAGGTGCCGGCACGCACAGCAGCCTCTGCAGGGAGGAGGAGCTGGTGCCACACCAGTGTCCCTGGCTGTCCCAGGAGGCTGAGGCCGGGCTGGGATGCTGGGGTTGGGGCACCTGGGCTGACCATTTGGAAATACCTGGAGCCCGGGGATGGCTCCTCTGGGTGTGGCTCCAGGAAACAAGAGAGGTTGAGCTTCATGTGGCGGTGATCCCAGCACTCAGGAGGCTGAGGCAGGAGGATCACTGTGAGTTCAAGGCCAGCCTGGGGTACATGAATGACCCTGTCTCAAAACAAACCAGAAAAACAACAAAGAAACAGGAGAGAGGACCAGGTCACACACCCACATTCACACATCCATGGGTGTGAGGGCTCCCAGGTTCGAGGTGGCCAGTGGGTCTCAGAGATGCCTGGACCCCCAGGCCCAGAAGCTCCTGTGGTGTTGGGAACCTCAACTATGTGGAGCACCCAGGGAACGCAATCCCATTAGGACTCCGACACTGGAGGTGGTGTGGAGCTGGTGGAGTCGTTTCTGCCCCCAGGAATCTGTCCTGTGTTGTTACAGCCATCAGGTCAGGGACACGAGGGCTTGGCTGCAGTGACCAGGACCGGGGGCGGGGGGGGGCCCAGCCTGAGCCACATGGTGCTCGGGACAGCAGAGGTCTGGTTGCGGTCACCTGAGGCCCAAAGAACAGCAGCCCCAGGGCAGCTCCAGCTGCACGCAGCCAGCCAAGAAATAGGGATATGGGGTCCCGAGCATGGGCCAGCAGCCTGGGGACCCGGAGGCTCCGTGTGCAGGACCAGCCCTCTCAGGGCTTGGCCCAGTGCCCCTGGGGATTGCTTCAGGGAACAAACTTCTCCCCACACAGATTGATTGCAGAGGACCCCGAGGGCGGCCTCTTCACCGTGACGCTGTTCCGGAGAGTGATGGATGATTTCAAAACCAAAGCCAAAGAGAACAAGTAAGGCTCCGGCACTGTGGGGAGATGGTGGAATGGACAGTATGTGCCCCCTTGCGGGGAAATCCTGTCCCCTTGGCAGCTTTTTTTCTTCTTTTATTTTTTTTGAGACAGGGTCTTGCTACATAGTGCAAGGCTAGCCTTGAACTTGCAGTGATCCTCCTGCCTCAGCCTCCCTAGGGCTCTGGAAGCTTCCTGGTGACCGTGGTTGTTTGTTTCTTTGAAGGTTCATGGTTCGTGAGTTTTACTATGATGAGAAAGAAATTAAGAAAGAGAGGGAAGAGATGACCAGGTTGCTGTCGGACAAGAAGCAGCAGTATGTGAGTAGCCGAGAGGGCTTGGGTGGTCCTGCTATTGAGCAGCGCCCCTCTGGGGCTCGGGACAGGAGCCCTCCCAGGTGCCACCTCCCAGCTCAGGGTCTCCTTTATCCCCTGGGCTCTCTTGGAGCCACCACAGCTGTGTCTGGGGACAGCGTGACACCGTACCCCACTTGGGCCTGTCCCCAGAAGGGTTTGTCACCTGCAGTTTTCTCTGGGGCAACCAGAGTCTGTGGCCACTGATCTCATTGGCTGTGTGGCTTCTGCAGCATCGCAGCACCTGTGTTTACCTCTCCAGCGTTCTCAGAAGTGAGTGGGTGCCTATCCGTGCCACTTCCCGCCGCAGCCACCTACACACTAACGGGGCTGGGGACACTGGGGAGCAAGCAGCCGAGCTCACGAGGGAGAGAAACTGGATGCTCACTTTTGGTTTTTTTGAGACAGGGTTTCACTATGTGGTCCAGGTTGACCTTGACCTCACTACGGGGCCCAGGCTGGCCAGGAGCTCATGGTGATCCTCCTGCCTCAGCCTTCTGAGTGCTGGGAATACAAGTATGTGCCACCATGCCCCGCCGGATGCCTGTTTTTGAAGCATGAACAGTGTAGTTTGGGGACAGTCGCTCAGCGGCTCCTAGGAATGGTTTCCAGGCTCAGAAAGCAGGGAGAGGAGGGCACAGGGGTGGAAGGTGCTCGGTGTCCCCAGAAGTGGCTGCGCAAACAGCCACCAGGATGAGGCTGGGACAAGGACTGCTGGAGTGCTTCTGGCAGCGGCTGAGGGTTTGCTGGGCCCCCGGGATGAACACGTTTGCCTCCAGCTCTCTGTATTGCTGGGCCCCATGGAGAAGCCCCGCCCCTCAGGAGGGTGCCCCACCCTGGGACCTGCCATCAGGTTCTTCAAGGGATTTTTCGTTGTTGTTGCAGTATTGCAGTACTGGGGATTGAACCCAGGGCTTTCGCACTGAGCTGCATCCCCAGCCCTTTTTATTTTTCCCCTTGAGACAGGGTCTCATCAAATTGCTAAATTGCTCAAGCTGGGTTTGTACTTGTGATCCTCCTGCATCAGCCTCCTGAGTAGCTGGGATTACAGGCATGTGCTGCAGGGCCCGGCTCTAATGGGGGGACGTTGATCCCCCTCCCCAGAGCATCCACACGCAGACTGCTGGGCCGAGGCTCCTGGGGATGAGGGGCACTGTGTCCTTGAGTGTCCGGTCCTTGGAGCAGAGCGGCAGCCCAGGCAGGGCCGTCCCTCCCCTGCTTCCTTTCAGTCCAGACTTTACCTGACCCCAAGCCCTGCAGGGGTCCCCAGAGGTGACAGGGCCAGCCGAGGGCCCCACCCAGAGGAGTGGTGAACTGAGCCCTCGGGCGCCCCCTGCCTGACCCCTGCAGGTCAGTGCCACACAGGAGCCTGCTACTTGCCACATGGGGCTGACTGGCCGGCAGGGTCTGGGGGAGCCTCCTGGAGGCGGAAAATGGACCCCCAACCAGCTGGGGGCAGCCCCATCCCGGTGTCCTGAGATGCTGTCCCCCTTTGGCCTGGCTGGAAGCCGACACAGCCCAGCACCTTGCATCCAGTCTTTAGGGTGGGTTTCTGAGCCCGCTCTCGAGGCTAGCATTGATCTCAGGATCCTCCTGCCTCAGCCTCTGGATTACAAACATGCACCACCATCGAGGCTTCCTGCATCCTTCTTGTTACCTGGCAACTGAAGTGATGGGCTAGGTCCCAGGATGGTCCGGGTGGAAGTGCCCTGTTTCCCTACTTGAGCGGTGGGAAAGGGTGCGCTGCCGGACGGCATGCCTGTGCGGCCCTCTGCATGGCGTGCCCAGGCGATGGTGAATGCACTGCGGCTGGGTGTGGCGACACCATGGCCACCCAGGCGGACAGCTCTGCAGACGGGGCCCTTCCCTTGGAGACCAGTGCTGCCTCTGTGTGCCCCGGACGGGGCCCTAACCCAGGCCAGGCGGGGCGCAGGCGAGGGGCCCAGAGCCCGCACCCGATGGCTCTGCCCTGGCATCGGAAGCCAGGCTGTGGCCTGGCCGCCTGAGCTTCCTTCCTGGGGCCACAAGAATGATTCTGTATATTGTGGTGCGTGTTTGCCGGACGATTAATAAATCATTTCTGTACCTTTAGCAAAATTCCTGTGTTACTCTTAAAAAGGGATCATCCATCTCCCGGGACCACAAGGTTAAGGGAGCCCCACTAGGGAGCCCCACTAGGCTCGCTGCGGGGCAGCCCGACAGAGAGAGAGAGAGTGAGGGCGAGGGTGAGGTAAGCAGCCCCTCCGGGAGCCCTGGGTCCCCGGCTCGCATCTCCGCCGTGCAGGTGGCTTTGGTGCAACACGTCTCCGCACTTCCAGGGTCTCTTGGGGCTTTGGAGGTCTCACATTCTAGGAGCCGGGATCCGCCTTCTCTAGGGTCACCCTCCTGCAGGGATCGGTGCTTGCCAGCCAGGTGCCTGTGCCCTGGCTGCGGTGGCTGGAGCTGGTGACAGGCGGCTGCCCCAGAGGACTGGCACGGGGCGGCAGTCAGGGGCTGCAGGCCTCCGCCCTGGGCCTTGGTGGCCCTTAGCATGCGCTGGTGGCTGTGCAGGACGCCTCAGTCCTGAGCCTCCCCATGGCTCCCTCTCTGGTGCTTCTGCAGCTCCTCGGCGACCCCTCCACCCGAGTCCTCCCTGCCCGGCGAGTGGCCGGGAGGGTCACGTGGTCCTCATTTCTGCAGGGTCCACTGCTGCGCTGGCTCAAGGTGAACTTCAGTGAGGCCTTCACCGCCTGGATCCATATCAAGGCCCTCAGGGTGTTCGTGGAGTCCGTGCTCAGGTGCCGGTGGGGTGTCCCCAGGGTGGGCTGTCCCAGCCCCGGCCACCTCCCTCCCACTGTGCTCCTGTTTCCCCGGCTCATAGGACAGACACTGGGCCCTGTGGCACAGGCCTATGATCCCAGCACTCTGGGAGGCTGAGGTAGGAGGATCACAAGTTTGAGACCAGCCCGGGCAACTTGGTGACTTAGGGAGACTCTGTCTCAAAACATAAAAATGCTGGGGATGCAGCTCAGTGCAGAGGTCCCAGGTTCAATTCCAGTTCTGGGAAGATTCGGACAGGATGGGTGCTGGTGAGCGGCAGGCTGCTGTAGCTGGCCAGGTAGCTGGGTGTGGGTCAGGCGAGCAGATGTCACAGGCCGTGAGCAGGGAGAGCAGAGGGCAGAGGTGGCGGCTGTCCCAGCTGGGCGTCAGGCCCCGTGGAGTAGGCACAATAGATGTCAGGACCTCCTGGAAGGAAGGAGACAGGACCTGTCCCCCAGGTGGCCTCCGAGATCAGGGAGCTGGGCAGCGGCTTGGGTGGGGCCAGCCACTGCCACTAGTCTCTTCCAGGGTGGAACAGAGGCCCTGGTCCACTGCAGGGGGCTCAGCAGTGACCGGTGGGTGGCCAGGCTGAAGGCCAAGTGAGGGTGACGGGCTGTCTGGAGCAGCGTGAGGGTCTGGGGGCCTCATGGGGAAGTTAGGGTGCCACCTCTGTTCCCAAGCCCAGCCCACGCCACCACGTGGGATGGCTGCTTGGTGCCCTAAGGATCCCGGGGTGCAAAGGGGAGCCCCACGCTGAAGGGAACCACGAGGTGGGGCAGTCAGATCCCATGTGCACCTGCGGTCACCCCCCATCCACTGCCCCCACCTTTGCGGATCTCATGGCAAACTCTGCGTTCCTGGGATTCTTCACAGGAAGTGAGGATGGGAGGTGTGTGTCTGGGAGTCAGGGTCATCTGTGGATCAGGTTCCCCCTGCACTCATGGCCACGGCAGGGCCCGGCTTTTTTTCTGTTTTTGAGACAGGGTCTTGTTATGTAGCCCAGGCTGGCCTTGAACTCCCAGCGATCCTCCTGCCTCAGCTTCCCAAGTGGTGGGATGACAGGCACGCATCACCACGCCCTACATGCTTTCTTGTAGTAGAGAAAAACAGCAGAGCTGAGTCTGCCATGCATGGGGATCACCAAGTTCAGTCCCGCCACCTCCGTCCAGCATTAATGCCCCCGTGGAATGGTCCTCAGTGGCCCAGGGGTGACTTCTCAGCCTTGGTTGTGGCTGTCACCATCAGCAGGGTCAGCCTGTGCTGCCACAGCCTGTTCTATCCAGAGCTGGTCCTTAGACTCACCTGCAACCTTGGCATTTTGCCTGAGTTTTTCTTTTTTAAATTCCCTGTCCTGGGGATTGAACCCAAGGCTTCAGCACTGAGCTGCATCCCTAGCCCTTTTCAAATTTTTTCGGAGAAAGGGTCTTTTAAGTTGCTGTTGCACAGGCTGGGCTTGAAACTGTGATCCCGCTGCCTCAGCCTCCTGAGTGTTGGCACAGCAGGCGTGCGCATCACACCCGCTTGAGGTTTCCTTCCTTAGCTCTTCCCCTTTCCACTTCCCGCTCCTCGCTGTCTGTCCGGCAGGTACGGGCTGCCAGTGAACTTCCAGGCTGTGCTCCTGCAGCCGCACAAGAAGTCGGCCACCAAACGCTTGAGGGAGGTGCTGAACTCGGTCTTCCGGCATCTGGACGAGGTGGCGGCTGCGAGTGTCCTGGATGTAGGTACAAAGCCCACCGCCGGCTTCCCTTAGACAGAAAAGGCACTTGCCAGCCTGCTGGGAAAGCCCACCAGTCACCCGCGTGTGAGCGGATGGCGGCCACGCGAGGCCCAGTGCGCGCCAGGAAGTGCGCATGCGCAGACGCCACCACCGCGTCTCCTCCCGCAGGCGTCGGTGGAGATCCCGGGGCTGCAGCTCGGCAGCCAGGACTACTTCCCCTACGTCTACTTCCGCATCGACCTCAGCCTCCTGGACTAGGCGGCCCGGGCTTCCCGAGTGCGGGCCACCGCTGAGGCTACGGCTTCTCGCTCTAGAACCAAGGCGCTCCGAAGTCCGGCAGAACCTCCACTCGCAGAGATCTCGCAGGAGTTAGACACAGTGTATTTATTTCGTTATAATAAAGTGCTTGGTCCTTTGAGCCGTGTCCTCAGTTCTAACAGAGCCGAATCGGCGCTGTCCTGCGGGCCCGTGTGAACCGCCCGTGCCCCCAGCGCTGCCCGGACGCCAAGCACTAGGGGGTCCTCCCTCGGGAGCGGCCTCCGCGCTGCCCGAGACGCTCTGGGGCTCGGACTGGGGGCCTCAGGACACCCGCGGGCGGCGTCTGGGTGGCCGAGGTCTCTTACGGGGAGGGGGAGACAGCAACTCCGGCCCCGTGGTTCAGACGTAATTTACTGACTCACGATCAGACTCTGATGCGGACACTAATTTCATACGTTTATCGGCATTGTCCAAAATAATGTTTTATTCTTTAATGGAAAAAGCCATTAATATTCAAATGAAGAATCACATTTTAAAAAACCTACATGTAAGAAACAGCCTCCGGGAACACTCAAGCAGCCTTCAGTCAAGAGGGAGGGAAAACCGTGTCGACAGCCCGGTTTTCTTCAAACTATTAGGTGGCAGAGCACAGCCGACCCGCTGCTACAATGCATAGTTTTTCCGTGTTTGGAGACGCGAGGTGCGGGGGCAGTGCCTTCCAGGAGCCGCCGGCCGGGTGAGGCCCGGGATGCAGCCTCCCGCACCGCTGGATGCTGCTCGCTCCCAGGGCGGGGCCGCGGCCCTCACAACTCGTCCTTCTCCAGGTCGTCCAGCTCCACGTCGCTCAGGTCGATGTCGTCCTCCACGGGCAGCTGTGGGACAGAAGCCACCGTCAGAGGGACGCCGGACCGGCCACCAGTGTCCTTCCAGACGGCACCCAGCCACTGGCCGCTCCTTCCCAGCCTGGCTCCCACTACCCAGATGGGAAAGCCCAGGACCTGGGTGCTGCGTGGCTTTTTATTTTTTCAGTTTTCCGAGACACTGTGTAGCCCAGTGTGGCCTGGAAGACACGGCCATCCTCCTGCCTCGGCCTCCCAAATGATGGGGTTAAGGTGTGCACCACCACGCCTGGCAGGAATTCGGATTCGAAATCTAGTTTCACACTTCTTTGGGACAAAGTAAATGGATTCTGGGTCAAGGCTCAGTGGAGGGGGAGCAACCGGACAGCAATGTCACCAGCAAGTGGAACTGGATGCCCGTCCAGATACTGAGCGTCACTTCTCAGGTGACAAAGATGACAGAGGAACTGAACTGCTCAGGTCCACACGGCCCGAGGCCTGGCTTGGGGACTCACCTCGCCGTCCTTCCCGTCCCAGGGCTCCCTCGTAGCAATGCTGGGAAAGGCGCCACCGCCCACAGGTGCTGTGGAGCCGCGCCCGAAAGACAGCTCCCTGGGGAGACAGCAGGACAGACACGTCAGGATGGACACGAGGACACACAGGAGGAGTGCCTGGTGTGGGAGTGGGCCTCTCCCAGGGAGGTGCTCAGGCCACGCATCCTGTCAGCCCAGGCATTGAGGAGCTGTGTGTTCATTCTGAGACAGGGCCTCACTAAAGCATTAAGGGACTTGCCGCCCTCCTGCCTCAGCCTCCCAGAGTGCTGGGATCCCAAGTGTTTAACACCATGGCTGGCCTACTGCCTGGCTTTCTACACCGAGCTTCAAAGCCAAAACCCCAACAGAACCGGACGGACACCGCACTGACTGCCAAGCCAGTGTGGATCACCTGAGGAACTCGTTGATGCCTTGCTCGCTGAAGGAGCCCTTGAGCAGTGCAAACTTCATCTTACGCGCATTGATGGCGGCCATGGCCGGGTAGCCGAACCCTCCGATGCCCAGCGCATTCTCCAGCTCGGGCTGGGCGGCTGCCTCTGTCCACAGCCACCTGTGAAGGAGACGCCGTCAAGACAAAGGTGTCTGAGATGAGTCCAGAGAGCAGATCTCACAAAATCCCCAGAACAGACCACTCCATTCCTAAGACAGCTTTGTCCTCAGACCCCGAACAGTGCCCACTCCGTGAATTACTCCTGTGCTTAGCCTGGAACCCAGCAACATCTGCTTTACTGCCCACACCACATGCGTGCATCTCGCAGGCGTGGCACACGGGGCACCCGGGAAAGCAGCAGCTCTGAGGAGCAAGATGAGCAGGAAAGAGTGTGCCTAGGCACTCCGAAGGGGCTGACCAGGCCTTCCTGTCTCCTTTCTCCAGCTGCCGAGGCAGCAGGGTCTGTCAGCTCACTGAGCTCTGCCTGCTGGCCTGCAGCCCGTGATGCCCGACCCTGTCTGTCGGAGGGACGGGGCCTCGAAGCAGGGCCTGGCAGGAGGTGGTGGGCACCGGGTACCCTCTTCCTGTCCCTGTCCTGGCCGCCCAGGTGAGCGCCTCTGCCTGCCACGCCCTGGCTCCCCTCAGCGTGCTGCCGCCTTGGGGCAGCCACAATAAAATAAGATGCTTTTCTCAGGTATTGGGTCATAATGGTAAAAATCGAACACAAACCCCAGACACCATGAAAAATGTGATTCCTAAGAGGAGAAGGTGTGCTGTGGAAGAAGTTGCTACTGTGTAGACCTAGATGTCCAAGTTTCATGTTCAGAGCTGTGGCTTTGGGAGGTGACTGGACCATGGGGTGCTGTGCTCATTGTGTGGGTGAGCTCACAGCTGAATGTGCTGTAGGAGCTGGGGCCTGGGTGGTGGAGGCCACTGGAGTGTGACTCAGAAGCATGCATTTATTTTATTTTTGGTTTTCTGAAACATGATCTTGCTATGTAGCCCAGGCTGGCCTTGAACTGACTGTGTAGCCTCCCAAGTTGTGGGACTACAGGTGTGCACCACCAACCTGACTTGGAAGGGTGCATTTTGTCCCCAGTTCAACCCTTCTCTCTGCTTCCTGGCCACCATGATGTGAGCAGCTCTCCTCCTCTAGGCCCCACCGCCATGATGTTCCTGCCATGGTGCAGTCTACCATGGACTGAACCCACTGAAACTGTGAGCCAAATTAAACCTCTCCTCCTTTAAGCTGGCCATTGGGTATTCTGTGACTAATACACAAGCATCTTATAAATAAGAACCATGTCTTACTTCTTTTCCTCCTGGATGACAACTGTTCTCTCTTAAATAACACAGTGGGCAACACAGGCCCGAGGATACAGCCTCCTGGAAGCCTGTTTCCCTGCCCCTATAGACAGCAGGCTCCCTCCTCACCCCCACATCTTCTTCTTGTATTTGTCTGCCAACTTCAGAAGAACTTCCAGGTAGGAGTTCCTGCCTGCCGCTCCTATGGAAACAGACAGAGTATGAAAGGTGAAGGGGTCCCCGCAGGAAGTGTGCTCGGCGGGCAGCGGCTCCCGGCTCACCAGTGTCCAGGATGTGGGGCAGCACGGCCACCACGCACAGCTGATGCTCCTCGCACGTCTTCTTGGCCACATCCTCGTGGATTATCTGTGGGGACAGGGCGGGGTGATAGGGAGGCTGCTAAGGGGCTTCATAATCCAAGGCTTAGCCCCACACTTCTGAGTCAGAGGGGGAGAGATGAAGAGCCTGCACCCCAGGGACACTTCTCGTCGAGAAACTCTGGGAGCGAGTCCCTAAGACCCGGCTCTTGTCCTCTGTTCCTCTCCAAGACTGGGCTCCTGTCCTCTGTTCCTCTCTCTCCAAGACCGGGCTCCTGTCCTCTGTTCCTCTCTCTCCAAGACTGGGCTCCTGTCCTCTGTTCCTAAGCCACCCATGCCTATGGACAGAGGCCCCGAAGAGGCCGGGTCTCACACAGCCTGGCCTCTCACTCGCTCAGGTAGTCACGCTGGATGTGCCACACGTTCTCACAAGCTCAGGGCTCCCTGTACCTCAAGTTCCTCATGGGTAAAATGGAGATAAAACTATCCACACCGCAGTGTCCATGTGAGTTTTTTTTTTTTTGAGACAGGGTCTCACTGTGTAGTTCAAGTTCAGGCTGGTCTTGAACTCCCAGCAGCCCTCCTGCCTCAGCCTCCTGAGTGCTAGGATAACACGTGTGCGCCACCATGCCCAGCCCATGTGAGAACGTGAGAAAAGCCTGCATAAAAGCACCAGAGCAGTGCTCCTCCCATGACCAGGTGCTCTGTGCATCTGCTGTTGAGCACACACCTGAATGACGATGGCAGGGTGCACTCTACTTTTTAGAAGCTCAAGTATGACCAGGTGCAGTGGCACACGCTTGTAACCCCAGTACTCTGGGGACTGAGGCAGGAGGATCACAAGTCTGAGGACAGCCTGGGCAACTCAGTGAGTTCACGGCCAGCCTGAGCTACACAGTGAGACCCTGTCTCAAAAAACCAGACAGGAAAGAGCTTGACTGGAACATACAGGGTGTCTCCTCCTGCTTTATGTTCCAGCTCCGGCAGGAGGAGCTTACCTCCAGCAGCTCCGGGGGCGGGGCGTTGTCGGAGAACAAGTCCAGGGCCCGGGAGACGATGTCGGACCGCGTCCGCCCACCATCATAGTCCATGGGGGTCTCGCCTCCCTGAAAGATCTTGATCGTGGGAAATCCCCTGATCTGGTGACAGAGCACAAGGTCAGATGAACATCTGATACAAAGAAGTCACACTCTGCCTGCTAAGCCACCTGAGGTGGCGCCCTGCGACAAACATGGCCCAGCCTCAGCCTGTCTTGGGGACAGGCGCTCCAGCCACACCAAGCCCTGGGGGCTGATGAACACAGCCGCACATGCGCTGTAACTGAGGCTGGCTACCAGAGGCCACAGGGCAATTCGCACAAGCTGAGGCAGTACGGGTGAGCGACTGAGTCCCTGCCCGACCTGAGACAGTCAGTACTTAACGCCCCTGAGGAAGGGCTCACCGTCCCCCAGGCCCGAGCTCCAGCACTCACCCCATAGCGGCCGGCCAGGACCTGGTTTGCGGTGGCGTCCACGGCTGCCAGCTTCACTCTGCCCTTCGTCTGCTCCTTTACCTCGGTGGCTGCCGCAGCCCACTCCGGCTCTAGGCTGGACGGGCAGGTGAGAAGTGGGCTCACTGCAGGGGACTGGGCTTGTGTGTCCCCGCCCAGACCGTGCCACGTCACCCCAGAGCGCCTTGTGGAGCACCATGCAGGAAGGGTAGTACAGCGGCGACATTCATGTTCCAGGCCCCATCTGGCCCAGCCTGACACCAGGCCAGCCCTGGTGACCTCGGGACATAGGACAGAGGACCAGACACAGGTCAGGAGCCTCGAGACCCCCGACCCTGCTTGATTTCCACACAGCAGCTGGATGGCGTCCTTGCAGCACTGGCTGGACAGACGCCTGGTGGAAGTGCTTACTTTTTGCAGTGTCCACACCACGGAGCGTAGAACTCCACCATCCACACGTCTGGGCTGTCCAGCACGTTCTTGTCAAAGGTGTCATCCGTCAGCTCGATCACGTCCTTCTTTCCCGAGCCCTCGCTCCTGCCCTGGCACCAGACAGCAGGTGTCAGACCCCGTGAACACGGCTCTCAGGTGCATCCATAATCCTGACCGAGCAAGCCCGAGCTGTCCTCAGGGAGGAACGGTGGCAGCTGTCCCACCCTCCCTGTGGACCCATGAGCAGGCCGACAGTGCACTCTGCTCGCTGTCACAGCTCAGGGCTGAGTTCACCACTGTGAACTACGGGAGGAGGCGCCTTCCCACAAGGACCCCACGTGGGCCGCCCCCCAGGGCTGGCGCCTTTCCTGCCTCACCTGCCTTCCCGAGCCCTGGGCCCCAGCACGGCCCCCCAGCCGGTCCTTCACCAGCTGCCTCAAGGCGCTGAGCGCGGCGTCTACGATGGCCTCCGCGGTCCTGCCACCTGCAGGGACAGAGGGTGTCGGGGCGGCACGCGCACGTGCACCTGTCCTGCCTGTCCACATCACCTGGCGGCACAGGGACTGACCACGGGCTGCAGCGCTAGGGCTGACTTGCCAAGGGCCAGGCGCGGCTGTGGCCCGAGACGTGGACACTCCGGAGGCAGCAGGCTCTCTGCTACCCAACATTTGACAGTTTTCAAAATAGGAAAACTGTCACAAATCATTATTCCAAAGCAGGAAAGCAGATGCTGACTGAGAAAGACAACTGATCACTTCCTAGCACCCGGAGCCAGGGCATTCAGAAGACCAATGACGTGTCTGGGGCCCATCTCCACGGAAGCTGGCCCCAGCAACACCGCACTGGCGTCAACTGAGTGCCTGGCCCCGGACCCCGCATGCACTGTTTCCATTGCCCTTTGTGCGCCATGGCCCCTTCCGCAGACCAGACCTGCCAGTCTGGGGCCCATGGATGGTGACCTGGCCAGGAGTCTGCAGCCAGAAGCCCTTGCTCACTGTCGCCATGACTCCCGGCAGACACTCGAAAGGCACTGATCTAGGAAATGGAAAATGCGGGTGCCCACTGTCATCACGTTTATGAGACCAGAGAACAGCGAAGGTGAAACACTTAGAGCTGAGCACAATGGCGCATGCCTGCCATCCCAGCACTCCGGGAGGCTGAGGCAGGAGGATACTAAGCTCCATCCCAGCCCAGGTAACTTAGCAAGAATCTGCTCAAAATAAAAAAATTAAAGAGCTGGGAGTGTAGCTCAGTGGGTTTAGTCTCCAGGATGGCAAAAAACAAACCGAACCTTAGGTTCTTGCACCCACGGGCACAGTCACGGGGGACTCCTCACCCTGATAATCTTCTGGTTTGTTTTTGTCAGCTCTGAAGACCTTGATGGTAGGGAAGCCCTGGACCCCGTACTGGCCGGCCAGGGACTGGTGTTTATCTGCATCAACGGCACCGACCTTCACGACATCCTGTGGGGAGAAAGCCATGGTCTGCCTCACTCCATCTCCGTGACCCAGCATTTCCCCTCCCCAGAGGCTCAGAAGACAGGCGGGTGACAGCGACCCGCAGGCTGGAAACAGCAGGGAGCAGGTGGCAGGAGGACACTTCCGGCGCTCACAGCCCTCCCACAGCCCCACGCAGTCTGAGGGCAGTGCCCAGCTCTGACCTTCAGCGCGCTTGCCGCTTTCTTCCACTCGGGCGCTAGCCTCTGGCAGTGCCCACACCTGTGGGAGGAGAAGCCGGTGATGAGGGACAGCGGGGCCCTCACCTCCGAGCACCCAGCTGCGCCACAGTCCTCAGTGTGAGACCTCTGCACCATGAGCCGGGGCACGATCGCACCGCGGTGACACAGGGGCCTTGCAGAACCCAGTGGACCGGCAGAGCCCGGATGTGCGGGCCACGCAGGGGGTCAAAACACAGACTCCCAGGACATGGGCTCACCCCCAGTACTGCATAAAACAAAATAAAACACCCACCGCGGGCCCATCATCACCACTCCTGTTCAATACAGTTCTGGAAACATTAGCCACAGTACAAGAGAAAGAAATAAAAGGAATAAAGATAGGAAAGGAAGAAGTGAAACTGTCATTATTTGCTGACAACATGATACTCTACACAGAAGACCCAAAAAACTGGGCCCAAAAGACTTCTAGACTTAATTGACAGATTCAGTAGAGTAGCTGGATACAAGGTCAACACTCAAAAATCAATAGCCTTCTTGTACACAAATAATAGACTCACTCACTGAGAGAGAAATTAGGGAAACAATTCCTTTCACAATAGGATCCAAAAAAAAGAAATATCTAGGAATCAATCTAACGAAGGAAGCAAAAGACCTCTACACTGACAACTACAGCACTTTAAGCCAGGTGTGGTGGTGCACACCTGTAATCCCAGCACTGGGGAGGCTGAGGCAGGAGGATCGCTGTGAGTTCAAGGCCAGCCTGGGCTACAGAGTGAATTCAGGACCAGCCTGAACTACAAAGGGAGACCCTACCTCAAAAAACCAAAAACCAAAAAAACAAAACCGCCCCCCCCAAAACAACCCCCCCAAAACAAAACAAAACAAAAAACTACAGCACTCTGAAAAAAGAGATTGAAGAAGATATAAGAAAATGGAAAGACATCCCTTCTTCTTGGGTAGGAAGAACCAATATAGTGAAAATGGCCATACTTCCAAAACTGCTATATGGATTCAATGCATTCCCAATTGAAATCCCAGCAGCATACTTCATGGACCTTGAGAAAACAATCCAAAAATTCATTTGGAACCAGAAGAGACCTAGAATAGCAAAAGCAATTCTAGG